CAGTTTGGTTTAGAGGGCAATGCTGGGGCACTCCTCAGAGGGCAGTCCCTGCTGCTGGAGGGACGGTGGTAGGGCAGGAGACTCGGAGAATGCTCCATGTCAGGGCAAAGATTTGATGGCAGCTCATGTAGACTTATGGTTAAACACAAGCAATGTTTAAACCAACTAACTCAACCTCTCGCTTTCCACGGTGACGTGATTGCCTGGAGGTCAGCACAAGCTAGTTGCAGGCCATGCTTTTGTGATTTTTGAGCTACACAGGGGCTGGTTACGTGTGCTGCAATCCTCTCTCTTTCATGGGTGTTGGCTCCGAGGAACCCAGCTCCTACCACAGCCCGTGTCGTAAGTGCACCAAGAGACGGTGATATCTTACGCCGGGAAAATCTGAGACCTTGGCTCTCAGGGCATGTGGAAGTTCACGTGGCTCCTATGGTGGTTTTGGAAAAAAGCTGGAGCTGCCCCTGCCCTCAGAGCTGAGCTACAGGACGGAGCTAAAAGGAGCTGGCACTGGCTGCTGTGGCTGTCCTGGGTCTCGGTGACTGCCTCTGCTCCGCTTTGCATCGACGGTGTGCCTTGCTCTGGGCCAGCTCAGCCACCTCTGCTTTGCAAGGGGAGGTGCAGATGAACCCACTTGGTTGTGGCCTTACAAAGCAGCGAGCCAGAGACCCAGCCTGCCTGTATGTCAGGGATGCTGGGGGGCTCCGATGATACACACTTCTCGGAGATAGCGGCAGCGTTCAGCAGTCTCTGAAGTGAGCGTTTTTGTCTTGGCACAAACTTGCTCCAGTTTCAGGAGAAATGCCTTTGCAAGGGGTCAGGTGAGAGCTGAACCCAGTCTGAGCAAGAGCTATCAGAAGAGGTTTCTTTATCATAGGATATTAAAGGAGAAAATGCGTCCTCGGACTGGACACAATGCACTTGTCCAACAGTAAGGTCCTCATGCTTGTCTAGCCATCTGTGGTGGAGGGAATATTGGTGTTAAAAGTTGATTTGGTTTTTTTAAATGTCTACCTCCATGAAGATTTTAGCCACTGTATTTATGTTGTTCTGGTCACAGGTTTTAGACCCGCAGCAAGTTTTTCTGTGCTTTCAATATTCACCGTCTGTCTTTCCTGATATTCACTGACGGATGACCAATGTTGATGCTCGACATGCTGCATTTCACCAGCTCTGCCCCGGGGATTCCTTCCCTCTCGCCTCTCTCCCTCTTCATCTCCCTCCTGCCTGTGCTGCAGACCTGCCTCCCCCGTTTTCCACCCCCTCCAAGACGTGCCTGGGGCAGGGGTCCCTCTCACCTCACCCCTGCTGCTGTCCCCAAAATAGCTGCTGTCCCCAAAACAGACGCAGAGGCTTAGGAAAGAAATGCCAGGGCTCGAGGTTTCTGAAGGAGGCAGGGAGAGAAAGGGCAGCAGATGCTGAAGTCATTAGGTGAGCAGACGCAGGGAAATAACGACATTCCAGAAAGGCCTCTCGCCCACCGAAAAACCTGAAATGCCTGAAGCTGTGAGTCTTGAGGCTGAAAGTGCTGGAGCAGCATATCTAGTACTTTGTTAAATTGACCAGTTTATTAGCAGTGTTTAAAAATGATCTCCTGTCTTTATTTGCAAAAGCCCATGAACAGTAAATTATGGAAAAAAGTGGGCCTTCAAAAAACAGCTGTAAGTGATTAGACAAAACAATAAAAGAAGTTACTTGATGCTGTCTCTTCTGTCTGCAGGGCTGTTAGAAGTATTTGCCTGACCTACTGCTAATACGCAGAGATTATTTTCGTACCAATCCCTCTGTAAATTATCTGACAGCAAAACTGAGCTTTGCCCTGCTTAATGTATATCAAGCGAACTGATGCAGGAAGTGCGCACTGTGTGGTCTGCCCTGCATCCAGATAAGAGCTGAAGAAAAATCAGGGTGTGGATGGATTGTTTGCCCAGAGATCAGAAGGAGCACACACGGTCTCTAAATATCGGAAATAGGAGACTGCGTGGGTCTCCCCATTTGCAACGTTGCTCCTCGGGGACAAACTGTGCCGTGGGGATGACCTGGCAGAACTCAAACATCATTTCTGGAAGTGGTGCGTGGGCATTAACCCCAAAAGACCAGTGCAGGGTAAGGCTCTGCAGAGATGCTTCTTCTCTCAGCTGTGGAAGTGGTAGGACGAGGAGGGAGCGAGGCTGTGCCTCCAAAGCCTGCTCGGGGACCGTCGTATTGTCTCGCTACTCCTGACATGCTGTGAGCTGAGAGGGCAGCCTGCTGTGTAATGGCAGAATGACCGGTCTGTCCTGAATGAGCCGAAGTGCTAATTCCTTTATTTTACCAAAATTGTTGTTCTGCTATTAGCCCTCTGATAGAAAGCTGCTGGCAAAGTGCATCCAACTAAAGTTCTTGCAGTCTTTTGCTGTCTCCCTTGGATTTCACATCCTCAGGGGCTGAACAACCTCTTTGGTTGTGCAGGTTCTGCTGCTGCTCTCCCCCTGCCAAACCTCTCTCTCTGCTGGCCGCTGGTCAGGACGCTGCAGCCTCCCCACTCTGCTGCTGCCACCGCCGCTGCTTTCGTGAAGGGCTGTTTGCTTGCACTTGCGCGTGATTAAAAATCTCATACTTGGAAATGGCAGGCTGAGGTTTCAGCAGAAACTGGGAATTAAATCTGTTTACAGGCAGCTTGGGAGGAGGGGACGCTTCTGCGTCTCTGCCTTTGCCTGTGATTCACTGCGCTGGGAACAAATGGAAAATAAAAGGGTCGAGACAGCCTGGAGGGGGAGAACAGAACAGATGCTAAAGGGAAGCCTTTTCTGCACAGTGTGGTAGGGGAAGCAGACCTAACTTTCAGGAGAGCATGTATTAATCAAAATGAAGTTGGTGATTACCGCTCAGACTGAAAAAGGTGATTTCTTTCACCACAGTTGCAGAGAAAATGGTGTTGGGCTAAGAGGGGTTGCCTTGTAATTTGAAGCCAAATAAGGCTAGAAGAGGGGCAAGAAATAAGGTGAGTAGGAAGAAACTGAGCATCAAGAAGCCTCTTGAGCAGGGAGGTCAGAGGGTTGGAAAAAGAAGACCTTGGCTGCTTAAGCCATATTTTATTTGCACTAGGATGGCCACTAATGTGCCCTTTGGAAAGGTGATGGGAGCCAGTGCCAGGAGGGGAAGTCCCAGAGTGGAGCGTGTGCTGCAATTTGGTGGAGATGGGAAAAGGGAAAAAGATATATGGCAGGGAAATGATATGTGCAGGGGCAGATTGCCCTCAGCCTCACTGGGAAGTTCCCAGGGAGCCTGGCTGCCCCTCACTGCTCCCCGGCTAGAGACCAGATCACAGGCATTTTCCATGAGGACAGCAGAAAGCACATCTCCACTGCTCTTTTGCTGATGCTTCAGTTCCTGCACTGAAGAATGAAGGTGTTAAAACATTACAAGGAAATGGATTTGAAAATGTTTCTAACATGTCTTAACCTTTCCAGTATGTGGCTTCTTAACAGTAACAGCGTAATTTTCTGCTCAGTATTTCTACAAAAGCCCTGTGTGGCACTGATTCTCTGCTGTGAAGGATTGTAGCCTCTGGAGGTCTCAATTCCGGAAAAGCTCTAAGCAACTGAAACAAGGGTTTAATGGGATGAAATGTGTGTGGCAACGTTAGCCATGACAGCGTAACCAACTTTGCTGCTGCTGCTAAATCCCAAACACATTTCCCATGCCAGCAAGCTTCAGTCAGATCCTTGAGGGTTTTTTTTTTCTTCCCTAACACCTGGGTAATGCCATGCATGACTCATCCTCTCTCGTACTGTCAAAGCATGTGCAGTTCTGCAAGAGCGATGCGCAATGCGACCGAGCGCCTGGTGCTTGGAGCAGCTCTATTCGTTACCTCTTGGGTCAGCTGTCCTCCAACCAAAAATTTAGCAACGCTTGCACACGAGTATCTACATGTGGGGTGTGTTTTAAGGAGAACTGTATACCCATACAGCTACTTTGGGTAAACAAGCCCAACCTGTGCTTTCTTTTCCAGCTGGATTTTCAGTCAATCTTCCAGTACAGTGTTAACAAAATGTAGGTGGAGAGAAGGGACTCGGTAATAGCTACAGGAGCCCTCACTCTCATCTCCTTTGGTGAACTTCACTGTAAAACTTAAAATGTCACATTTCCTCCATGCACAATTTTTAATTAAAAACTCTCCATTGAAAAGGTCATGACAGTTTGACTCTCTGCTGCCCACACACCGATAGCCCAACAGCAGCAAAACCTAAATGAAATTCTTCCCAACCTGAAAAGAAAGCTCTGAGGACCCTCTCTACCTGGAATAACTAACGAATGGAAGCAGTGACAGCCTGTCCCTGTGTCCCAGTCCTGCCACATGCCTTGTGAGTAATTGCTACCCATCACCCCTGTTCTTGCTGGCTTTCTTGATAAATAATACACAGCTCTTCACCTTAGCAGACTTCTCATCTTTTCCTCTTTAGCACTGCTTCATCTGCTTCTCCTCTAAGATTACAATCTTATTTTTAAGCATGGGGTGCAATGTGCTTCTGCACTTCTAATATGTGGGTGCCTGTGAATTGTCAGATGCACCAAAACCTACTTCGTTTCATTCTCTGTAATCATGTGCATGTGACGAGCTCTTGCTTGTCCATCTTTTTTGGACACCGCAATTGCGTTGCTAAGATAGGCACTTTCTTTGCAGAAGAAAATTTTATTTCCGATCCTGTTGTCAGCCACGATCATTATTGCAGATTCAGCTAAAACTTCCAAACATGTATGTTCTGGTTTATTTAAGTTGTGGAAGTATGAACCGACTCACAGACCACAAAATGCTTTATCTGCAAAGGAAAGAGCACACCTGTTACCATGTACCTGTTGTTAGTGTGCTGCAATCTTTTTGATTCCTTGCCTGTGAAAGCTGAAAACACAAACTGCCTTAAGAGATTGGTGAGTTTCAACTGCCAATTTCTCCTTTCAAACTGAAATACTAAGTTTATAGATAAACCTATTACTTGACTAGAAAGAGACTTTGCACGAAATCCATGGCTGGCTCACGCCTAGAATTTTATTCAATCCATTCAAAAAAATAGACAGAACTATAAGGTGGCACATATTGTCAGAGAGTACAAATGTCACATCTTTCTTTATACAGTTTAATTTAAATCCATAGATTAAGATAGTGAAATAATTGCCCTGGGTGGGAAAATAATTAAGGGTCTTCCATGAAAGGACAAGTCTTCAGGTAAGCGTTTACACAAATGTATCTGGTTAAGCATAACTTTTTCTATCCTCTATAAAAATATAAACAGCATTTCAAAATGTCTTTAGATAAGTACGTTAAGGTCATCTAACATGGCATTAATGTACTGACAGAATATGGGGCCTGGGCATGTCAAACCACATTTAGTAATCCATACTCAGCCAAAACGAAAACATTTTGTGTGAGCTTCAAACATTGTACAATATAACGAAAGAAACAGTATCAAACCAAAGATACAAAAGTATGATGTTCCTCCTCCCATATGAACTCCTTATCTTTGTTTTGTGTTTTTTGTTAATATGGCAATGACTAAGACAAAAGTGGGTTTTGCACAGGCTAACTGTAACTCAGGATCAAGTATAACTTGTCTTTCCCAGAAAGTAACATTGCTGGGAAGTGACATGCACCAGGATCAAATTAAGGGCGCTCACCGTTGCGTATGTTTTACCTGTGCAGTATTACTTTGATACAGACTGTAGCATGTGACAGGAGGACAAGTGCAAATTACAAGGGCAGAATCTTGGCTTCCCAGACAGCAGAACCAGGCCGTAAGACTAAACAGTATTTTTAAAGGCAAGAAGAAAATTAAACAAAAAGCTGTCTCATCTAAACTTTAAACAGTGGGATGTAGGGTGTTCCTGGTATGGCTGTCATAAACACACCCTATGTTTTCCAGGGATGCAAATCTGATAAGCTAAACACCTAATCGTTGTTGCAAGGACTTACTGGATCAACACAGACTAAAATGTTCGAATATACTGAATATAATGGTCACAGGTCTAATCACATAATTTCCCTTTTCCCAATCCTAAATTTGTATTGGAGCAGCTTTCCCATCAGCTGTGTGTTTGTACAGCAGAGCACTCGATGTTGTAATTCACTAGCACGTATGCCAACAACAGCTGATATTTTCCAGTTAAAGTGATCTACAAGTGAGAAACAAAACCCGGGGTCAGGTTTCAGATAAAGGTTGGACATTTTGAACTTTGGACAAAGTGACAGGTATCTTTGATTCTCCCGGTGCTGGCGCTTTTGTGACTGGGTTTGCATGGGCTTTTATATCAGCTATTCTCTCTTTAAATCTTTGCTGGAGGTACTTTTCTTCTTTGGAGTAACTTTTAGCAAAAGCAGACATCAGCAGACATGCTGCCACAGTGGACCCTCCAACACAAAACAAGATTGCTCCTGCCAGCTTGCATATATCAAGGGACCCATTAAACTGAATGGCACGGGTATCCACCACAACAAAATCATCTTTCCCAAGAGCTTCGATTTTCGGTGGCACAAGAAAACCCACTACAAGAACTGTTAAACCTATCAGCATAAAAGCCATCCCAGAGATGAGTCCGACCTGGAAAACAAAGAAACAAAAACCCAATTAATATGCTTTTCCAGTTTTTAGTTGGTAAGTGGTCCTAGGAGGCATTTAGCTTTCACAGTGTCTTGCAGGTACAGTTCTCTCTTCTAGGACAAGGCTGATATTTTTCTTTTAGGTCATATGTGGCCTTACTAGAACTCAAATATATGGAGAAACTGTCTTTTTACAACTCAATAATTATATAATTCAGTTTTGACATTTCTGGAAACTCTGCAATATGCATCTATATGTCTAAAGAGCGTTTCATGTCCAAAGGCCCCATCACAGAGAGGATCATAGTTTAACCCCAGTGCTGTGTGACCAATTATTTCTTTAGCTTTAGGTGGTGGTTAGCACCAACAGTTCAGTCCCTGGTGTCATATCCACCACTTGCTTTTACTCCATGAAATGTCATTCCTTTGCAGGGATTAGAAGGAAGATGCTATTGCCGTAAACAGATCACAGAATACTTCTCGCACATTTCAAGTGTAAGTGCAAAATTTGGTTCACACAGAAGGGCCCTGCCGTCAAAGCAGAGGGGTTGGACTAGATGGCCTCAGAGGCCCCTTCCGACTTCTGGTGTTCTTCAGGTCTGTCAAGTTCCCCAACCTTAATGGAGATCTTGCTGTTTTCTCGATCCCTAGGTCACACAGTCCCAGAATTACTGCTGTTAACCTACCAGTCCTATTCCCAATAACCTGGCAGGCAGGACTATTGTGGGTGCAGAGGTCAACTACACTTTCAAGCTATGGGTGGGGTTTCCCAGACAAGACTTGGATGTTTCAGTGACATGGCTGCTCATGACAGAGAAACTAGATGATCCAAAGACCCCAGAACTCCCTTTGGTAACTCAGTAAGAGCACCCTGCTTTCAGACAGATGGTTATTCAGTCACTTCAGGGAAAACTGAGCAACAGAAGGCCTTTCTGGGTGAATACCTAAAGCCATTAGTTATATGGGAAAGTCTTGAAATGGGAGTTTCTCTCTCCAGTAAACAGCAACATACAGTACCTTCCAGAATGCAGAGCTCCACCTACTAGGCGATCTCTGGATCTGAAAATCATCCTCATACTCCCAAATTGAAGCTGTGCAGTCCTCATAAAACTGATGCAGGTAGGACCGAACTCCATAGCGTTGGTACCCTCCCTCGGTGCTGCCCTGCGCATGCTTGGACCCGCAGATGTCAGCATAGGAGCTCATCCTTCCTACCTGCAATCAGAGGTTTCATGCAAAGCAGATCATTATCGACATGATGGGAGAGCAAAGCTGGCTACAAACTCTCCAGACGACATGAAGAAAAGCAGCCCAGGAGAGACCTTTCCTTCACTTTTTTCCAAACCAAGAAATGAGCCTGGTAGAGTTGCATGCAGTGACTCGGCTCAAGCGAACCCAAGGCACTCGGCATCTTGCGCAGCACAGCCTGAAGGTGCTGCAGGGAACATTCCCTCCCATATGCAGGGTGCCCGCTCCCCATCTTTCACACTCGCACGCTACTGTGTTTCCATGGAGATTGAAAAAAGCAGAGTACATCAGGTAACAAAAGCCAGCATCCCTCAGGGGCTCATGTTGCCTCTCATCCAGACTGTTTTCATTAGTTAACCAGAGTCTGCAACCTCAGGAACTTTCCAAACTGCTGGGCAAGGGTTTTTTTAATGTTTTTGCCTGAGCTTTTGAAGTGCAGGACTAAGCATTGATAGAACATTCATAGCCATTAAAAACAGAGGCAAAGTAAGTCCCAGACAGATTGAAATGGTACATATCCTGTACTTAACTATGGGTAACTAAAAATGAAAAAGATGGAATGCCGTAACAGCACCAATCTGCTCACTGAAGAGAGTGAAGTGGAAATACTAAACTTGTGGCAAACCACTGCCCCCTTGGAGAAGTCAATGCCCAAGCTCCTGCTGACTGTAACAAAATCCAAATTTTGCCTGCTAAGAAAACTACCAACAATGTTCCCTGATCTTTCCACTTCATGGAAGATTTCCTAACACACAAAATTTGTATTTAACCATGCAGGTCCTAGGCCTGAACTTGCCTGCACAGGTGCAATGCAACTGAATCCATTGAAGTAATACTAGCCCCTAAAAAACTTGAGCAACAGGTCAATGTTACTTAAGATGACTGACTTCTCTTTAAAGAAGTTCAGAAAGTCTTAGTCTGAAGGGAACTGTTAATCAGTACTTGCATCTGAATGTCACAGCTCAATTTATATCGGCTTCAAGCAGTTCATCTGATTGCCACAGCAATTTTGCTTAGAGGGAAGGGAGGTTTGACATGCTCATGGCAGCTATGATCTCCCAGTTTTGCAGCCCTACAGCCCTTGAGGAATGGGTGATCTTGCTGGGCATGAAATACCGGAGTATGCAAGAAAAACAAACACTGCTGCATTTAAATTAAGTCAAAGCCAGAAAGTATCGATTGGGAATGGCAACAGTCTGAATGAAGCTCTTGGCTGGCTCTGAAATCACTGCTGGTGTAACAGTGATCTTCCAGCCCTTTGGAATCTGGTTGCGTTCTTGGCCTAGGGATAGAGGGGTTTGCTTTTTCCTCCTTATAAAACCCAGTAATCTTGGTTTTTATTTATTTTGCATATCTAATATGTGTTTAGTTTGCAATTTCATGATCTCAGCATCTCGTAACTGCAAATATCTCTCTCTTGCAACTCGTGATGATGTTTCAAGGCTCCCACTCAGTCATGACTTCTGCGAAAAAGGAGGCCCGCGTGATGATGGGTGTCCTAGCAAGGGCCAGCACTCCCTCCAGGAGAGGGGGGGACAGTGCTGGTGGCTGAGCTTTGCAGAGCAGCAGGGGTAGCGCTGGGCACAGCTTATGGCAGGAGCCCCTTCTTTGAACCCAGAACTGCCTTTGCATCCCCTGCAAGTTTCCCTTTTCCACTTCAGCCACCATAAAGCATTAGGAAATCAAAGAAGCGCTCTCTGACTCTGTGGACAGGCTTACTCTCTGCTGGAGGTACAGCATCAGTGCCCTCTGGAGTGTGCTCAAGGTGCTGGCCTTCCCAGGCAAGGTAGAGAAACAGGCAGGGTGGACGGAGACCTTGAGACAGCAGGAAACTCCTGGACACCACCAGCTGCTCACCAGGTGAGGAGGGAGAGCCAGGCACCAGGGCCAGCCCATGTCAAGTTAAATGTTGCTAATACTGACATTTCCCACTATGGTTAATATATTGGGGAAAAAAAAAAAAGCGTTGTGCTCTTTTACAATGTTATGAGCTTTTGAACGCTATTACTTTTTGAGGTACAAAAAAAAAATAGTGGTATGGATATAAGTATATAATCTGGACTCTTGTCCAGATCTTGTGGGTAAATGCTGGAAGTTTTTCTACTGTTGGAGCCTGTTTGTTCTTTTGCAAAAGAGTTCCTTCTGTTTCACTTGGGAGTCCCTCCTGCTGTTTATTCCCTACCTGAAAAGAGAGCAAAAGAAGTCCTCTTTTCTCACTGCCACCATTTCTTCAACAGCTAGCTGCCATCTTCCACAGGACAAGCACTGAAGAGTTCTCACAAAACCAGAGTTCTGCCCACCTCATAAAAATACCTCAGGGTGCAAAGAGAGGATGAAGCAATGATGCAGTTTACCACAGCTGCCCCAGCCCTCACACACAGAGTCCCACAGCCTATACCTTAGGGATAAGAATGGTTTATGTCCATATCCCTCAACACATCTTTTGGTTATGAGTAAGCAAATGCTCCATCTCCCACATCAGAAAGAAGAAAGTAAAGAGGCCAACCAAAGCCCTGCAGACTCGCTCTCTCGGGTCCTTAGGTCTTTATTCTCACATCAACCCTACCTCCTTGAATACATTATGCTTAACTCCTTGCCAACTTAAGTCATTCAGGTAAGCCTATTTAGGATCACATAATGAACAGAAAAGGAGGTATTTTCTCCAGGTGTAAGTGACTCCATAAGGTCAACACAGGGAAGGGTCAGCCCTACCACGACCAGATAATGTGGCCTGCCAGAGCTCACTTGCATTACTCCAGCTGCCACCAGGAGACAATTTTAGAGCTTCTTTGGTTTCTTCAGAAAGCAGGTGAAGCACATTGCCAAATCTGAACCAGCACCTGTGCTTTTTGCAATTACAGAAAACTCAATGTAATCTTACAGAAAGCCATATAAACGCTATCTTGCATTCACTGCACTGACTGTAGGTTTAGTCAAGAGAGAGAAAGGAGGGTGTAGTGTTTCTAAGAGCTTGATGAAGAATTGCCTGTAAGAACCCCACAGCCTGGAATCGCTTACATTATACAGAGATTCTTTTTCTTTAGAAATCTAAAATGCTAATAGGTGGTTTTGGTCAGGCATATGATCAAAATGATAAGTAAGAGCTGGGAGGTGGAATAGAAAACAAAAGAATGATCTTTTGCTTGAAAGAGTTGTGATAGCATCAAGTAGTACAACCTTTTAAAATGGAAGGGGGGAAAAAAAAAAGGACTGCCAGCATCATTAATTCCTTTCAAGACTGCATATTAGTCCTACTGAATGTTTTCTTTATGCTTGGACTCTTCCACTTATAAGTAATCTCCTATCTTTTGCAAAATATCTCATCCCTTAGAGAGAAGAGAAGGCAGCTTCCCAGCCCTATATGACTCATTGAAGCAGCCTGGTAATTGGGCCTAAGATGGTCTCTTTTCTCAGCTGCAATGTAAACATAATGATGTTGTTCTTGCTACTTACACATGGGGCAGAGGAACTGAGGCAGTCTATGGTGGGAGAAAACAGTTCATAAATAAGAAGGAAACGTGTGTCACAGCATCAATTTACATTGCATGAATAAATATGGCAGTGGCTATGATCTCTCGAGTGTTGAAGCGTATCTGCATGTCTCACCTTCGTGGCTGAGAAACTAAATGCTGAAATGTTGGGAAACTTTTGCTAAAGAGAGACACAGTTACCCAAATCTGTGTTACACACGAGCTTAGAACATGCATCCAGGCCGCAGGAAGTGGTTCAATCATTAAAAGTTTTTCAGTGCCTAAACCCAGGGTGCCGAGGAACACGTGGGATGTATGATCGCAGCTTCAGAGCACACCACTGCGTAGTAGCTATCCATCCCCTAGCAACTTTTGTTTCCATGGCAAAAGCTGTCCTGTTTACTTTGAGCTTTACTATTCTCCACCGATCTGGGGAGATGTGACTGGATTGGTGAGCAGGCAGATTGAAAGACGAGCAAGCTCCAAGACAAATTACCCAGTAGATTTCCCAACTCCTTTGCTTCCTTACTGAAGGGTTGGACACGTTTGAAAAAAAACAAAACACGAGGAATTGGCACCTGAAAGGCAGGGCAAAGCAAGTAAGGACATGGCATCGCTCCACGACACCGCACGGCCGCCAAACGCGAGCCACGAACCCCGATGGCTTCGCGCAGGTGAAGCCCCCCTCTCCCTCCTCCATATTCGCGCGCTTTGGCCCCTTTCTGTGAGAGGGGCCACCCTTCCCGCCTTCACCCACGGAAAAGCCAGACCCCCCTGTCAGGAACAAACACCGCCGTAAATCCCCTGTCTCCCACAGCAGCCTCCCAGCCGGCCTCGGCGATGCCTCAGAGCTACCTGTCGTGGACGAGCAGCCCACCTCGGCCTGACCCAGGTCCGCCGAAGCCGAGGCGAGCCCGCGGGCGGCCGCCCCTCCCGCCCGGCGCCTTTGCCCTCACACGGGGCTGATGGACCGGGTCCTCCCCGCTGAGGGCGGCCGGGGTGACTCCTGCGCCCCCCCGCCGTGCAGCGGGAGAGCCGGCAGGCCCTTCTCCTCCCCAGGGGGGACGACACACACACACGGACCGACCGGCCATCCTCACCCCCCCTCCCCGCCCGGCGCCGGCAGCCCCGAGGGCTGTGAGGAGAGCCCGCCCCGGCGCCGCCACCTTCCCCCGGGCGGGAAGCTCCGCACCG